GTTTAAGACATTTTAATGTTTTCACAATAAATTCAAAAGTATCTAAAATATTGTTAAATCTATTTATTCATAAACATACTTTATTTATTCTTTTATCATTAACAACTTTTGATATTTAAATACATACACAAAATCAGATATTCCAGCACATTAGCAGTACAGCAAGTTTTAAGAATATTATCTAATTAATTTGAAACAGCATAAAAAATTGTTTTGATTATTTAAACGTCACTTAGCTGATTTATGAGAAGAGGAACTGGTTTTGTGTGTGCATATTATATACTTATTTTATTAAACACAGAGCTGGCGCGCCTATGGAACTTAAGGATGCTTCAAGTTATTATATTGTTTCATTTATTATGGTACTCTTCATGGTTTATTGATTTGGCCTTCTCCATGCACTTCCAGGTCTTACCCACTGTTTTGGTAATATCATAAGCCGACGACAACTAACCGCTTTAGCGGTTAGTTGTTAGTAGTTCGTCCACTTATTATTTTTTGCATTAAATTTTATTGATATTTCTGTAATAGTTTATATATATATATATATATATATATATATATATATATATATATATAATTTTAAAAAGTTTTGTAACATAAAAACGTTCAACTATTTATGTTTCTTAATAAATCACGTTCAAAGGGCTGTAAGTGATGCAATCTGGTAAACAGATAGATCGTATCGTATCGTTATGCCACAGGATACAGCCAGATCACTAGATAGTGATCTGGATGTATCCTGTAATATAGATATATTAACACACATCATGTTTTTACTTCACCTACAATGATGGAGAGTGAGAAGGATCTTTCCAAAAATTTTGTTATACACCTAGTAATGAAAACGTTTCTAAACTATTACTCCTTAAATATTATGTATGTGTATTGCTAGTATACCCGATATAATTATTATACGTTTTTATAAGTGAATATATTGACTAATTTTGTGTAGGTCAAATGAATGCTTTAAATACTTATTGTAAATATCCGCATTAACTTTACAAACAGTGCATTCTATATCTACTATCTGGGAAGTACATACGGATGTACACAAAGCGAAGAGTCAACATCAAACAAGGAAGCGCAGAGTCCGCGCTGCCGGTGACGTCACGCACCAAATTAACCCGATTCTAAGAACTGAACCGTTGTATGTCAGTGCACTTGTCTTGATAGACGACGCACGTGTGGACATATTACACTACAGTGTAAGCAATGCAGTAATACTCTGTAAATATGCCACTAAATGTCTTCCTGAGCAATGCGGCAGAGAACATTCAATATCTTTATATTATTAAGTGTAATGTTTCTGCAGGTATTCGTAGATAGGATTCGTACTAGCAGGTATACAGAAAATAATGATATTGGGCAATATCACTAACAAGATTATTTACATTACTAACGTTATGAGTTAATAAATAGCTAACTCAGATCAATGCTGACATTTTATGTATTAGGATGCGTGTGACATTGGTGCACATATTCTGTCAAGTCATTACATTCTTGCAACTCGATATTTAAACGCCGTAATCAAATTATAAATCCAATGGCCCAATTCTAGCTTACTAGTATAGACTATCTCATCCAATCTCTTTCTCTGGAAAGATCTCATCAAAATAGAAAGAACCCTCTGTAAGTATCATCAAACGGTATTTTGTTGTTTTGATGGGACACATTTGTCTTCTGATAATTCTATAGCTTTAGTTTACTTTAGGCTCGTAATAATTTTAGTATTAATAATAATGGTTCTAGTCAGTAGATAATATTAACCTTGATTTCCTTACCGGTATTCGCATAGATAATATAGTAGCAGTAAATATATATCAGTTACTTTTAAACTTGCGCGTTTAGTACACAATTTCACATTATTAATATTGTTAATCGAATCTTGAAAAGAAAATGAAACGTCAAGAGAACTTATTTACCATAAAATTATGCGTGTTCATATCCGATTAACTATATTAATAATACGTATCAGGTTTAAATTCTGATACCTTTAAGTATTGCCAACAAACCACTAAATACCTTCAGATACTAAACGAAAATATACTTTAATACTTAATAATAATATCAGCCGCTCTCCCGCGTTCTTGTACTTGGTTGCAGAGAACCGTCGTTTATTTTAATGTGGACCTGTTTTAATTGAGTACATTTTATCTTTGCGATATAATAATAAAACAACAAATAGTCCTAATAGTGCTGATACTTACCATCCAGTTTAACTTAATCAGTTTTGTCCATAATTAATATTGAAATAGCATTTTTGTAAGCAAAAAAGATGCACACCCTTTACATTACAAGTACAGGAAGCCATTAAGACCAACAGACAGATTTTTTTTGTCTTATTGATCTAGTAATATTTTTAATACTTTTTATATATAGTATATTTACAAAATGGTGTTAATTAATGAATGTTAATTTCCTTGTTACGTGTAATTTTCTCTTTTTAGTATACTCGCTCAATATTAAATATAAAAAAACACTACACATAGATCTAAATGTATAATTTGATTCTTTGTGCAATATAATAACGAACTATGCTTTTATGGATTTTTTACTATTTACTAATCTATCTATGTCGAACTTGATCAATTAGCAATCATAGCAATATTGATAGCATTTAGCACACAGCTTTACTTCAGACGCTTACGGATTCAATTCCTTGCACAACGCAATCATTTGATTCATTAATATGATTTTTGTATTATTGTGGTTGTTTTCTATGTGTAATATGTATTGAAAGTCTGACAATGACAAGAAAATATAAAAAAATATATTGAAATCTTTCTATCAGTTTTCTAGTTCCCATAACAAGCTCTGCTTAGTTTGGGCTAAACGGCGCTGTGTAAGTAGTCCAAGTTTATTATTATTATATCTGAATAACCATCGTATATTAGGTCTAAATGATAGATAATATTTATACACATAAATAAAATTGGATTGTCTGTTTGTAATCTCAAAATAACCGCATTTTACTACATGCATATGAATATAAATACGGTACATATACCAAAATAATATTTTTACACTTTGTCAGTCTGTCTGTTTGATCCGGCTAATCTGTGAAATGGCTGGACCGATTTTGACGGGTCTTTTTTGGCAGGTAGCTGATATGATAAGGAGTAACTTAGGCTACTTTTATTTTAGAAAAATAAAGTCAAATTCCACGCGGACGACGTCGCGGGTACAAATAGTAGTAAATAAAATTATAAATATGTTACTTAAGACATAAAAGATTTTGTATATTTTATGTAATTTTGTGCCGCGGTTACAGACTATTCTTCTTTTACATATACTAAAAACATCAGTCATAATAACTACGTATGAATTATTTGCACGTGTCAGTTACCAAGCTCATATAGAGATCGTAACTACAACTGTCTAATCGGTTAAGGTCCGGCCGCTCAGAATTTGCGTTTCTGACAGATCGGGATCAAATGGGTGATGTAACTTTGAACTGACGGAGGTACATAGTTTTCAACCAACCACATAAAACTACGCTGTTCTAAGGTTATGTGGTCACATGACTACAAAAACAGTTGACATAACATTGAAATAGCGCAGTATGATGTGGTTTGACTTTTAAAAACTATTGTATTTAGAATAGCCTAAAATTAAGACCCGGTTTATAATATAAATAATGTAAAATTATTATTATTGTAAGTTGGAATAATATAATAATTAATTTATTATATTAAAAATAAATTTTTAATTTTATCACTCGTTAATGAGGCAAATAAAAGATATTTAATATTTTGCCGTAAATTGTACATCAATTCAAAATTACATCGCCCATTCGATCCCGACCTGTCCGAAACGTAAACACTGTGCAAGCGGACTGTTGGCATAACATATACCTCCAGATGACTATAGTAGTAGTACTATATTGCTATAATATGTAACATAATATTTCTAGAGGTAATACACACGAAGGCGGAAGCCCCCACACTAAGTTTTCTCTGCACTCCGGGAGACTATTGAGTATTTACTTACACATCGTTGCATACTTATTCACTAACGTCCGCACTCGCTTGGTTCTGGTTTTGTAATAGAAAATACTGACATATAAGTAGTATAATATTATAATATATAGACCGATGACCGCAGAAGTCTAGTGCTTTCATATACCGCCTTACTTCCGATGTTTGCGAGTTCGATTCATCCTAACGTTCATTAGTAGTCATAAGTATGACTGTTTGTACTGGCATAGTTAAAATAATGTTACTTATCTAGCACTTGTTGATCTGGTTGTTTGCCATGTATCATTATTACTAACATTTTAGATACAGATGTATGATATGAGTCTGTATATTGTAGTACCTATGGATTTATTCCTTTGTTTTAATGAGTTATTAAGTAATATTAGATATTGTTTTGATTCACATACTAAGAAATTTGATAACCGAAGTACATAATATTTAGTGTTGATATGCTATTTACGAATATCCAACATATATATACTGTTATTTATGTTCTACCGCACCAACTGAACTGAGAAAATCGAGTTGGTAACTTACCGGAAATAAAAGACCGGAAGTGTAAGGACGTCGTCGGATGTCCTGTCTCCCCTTTTACCCTCTTTGTCCCTTCCACCCCTGCATCCCTCCAATTCGTATCCGGTCAGGGACTTCCTCTCCTAACTTTTGACGACATTATCATGGAAATAAAATACACAAGTAACTGCGGCCGTAACAAGCTCTATATAGTAGTATATAAGTATATGTATCTACAAATAACAGCACATTTTAGCACATATACAAAGATTCGATTATTAAAAATAATCGATTACTATTCAATAGAAAATATAATTTTCTCAGAGATTTTAATATTTCAACAAATCGATTATTTAATAATCTTTTTTATATAAGGATTATTCGTTTTTCATTTTTATATCCAAGTGCCCAAAAAAATAAGATAAAGTGGTAGTTTAAAAAAAAAGTAAAACATTGAATTCTGACAAAAATGATCTATTACTAATCGACTTTTTTTTACAGAATGTCACATCTCTACACAATCAACGAGCCCGATCGATCGAGATGTTCTCGCTTTTCATGAAGCCGACTGACTAAACTGGAATCATGACGTGCAAATGTGTAAGGACAACAGATTCATAAGTGCACTTCGCGTGTAAATTTTGCCACAAAAACTCTTTGTAAAGTCAGTACATAACTACAGACAGTATTGTAGTTTATACATATATTTTGGTGACGAAGAGAGTTTACTATTAATGTTATTAGTGTAGCTATTAATCTAACATACAGATGAGATACTATAGGTTTAACAGTGGATAATCGAAGCTGTATTTTCTACACGTATTAATTTGTTCATATTATTTATCTTTTGAATATGTTTTCTACTTTAATAATTACGTTAAATTCTAATACTCGTTTAACATTTTTAATGTCAGTTAAAGATGTAAGATCACAGAGGTAATAACGATAATCAATCATAATCGATATATATTACGATTGAAATTCATTATTAGCTCTGACATTAAAAGTAAAACTGTTAAACAAATATGAGAATTTAACATAATTATAAAAAATAGAAAATGAATCTACATATAAACAACTTAATGCTTATTTCACATTTTTATTATGTTAAATTGTTCCTCTTAACATACTGTGCTACGTAACAATAAAGTGCAAAACTAGCTCACATTCAAACGTGGATGTGTAACATAAGAATAATCCGCATATCGGAGTGACATCAGCCGCCGGAGAGCGGTTATATTGCTTGCTTCAAGTGGTGCAGTAATCTGACTCTCAGAGCCATTTGTGAAAAATTCTAACGCGTGCACATTTGGCATTCTGTTAATAATGTAAGTAGGCAGTATATAGGTACAATTATAGTCTGTTAAAATTTAATACTACATATAAAGTGTCAGTTGTAGTTTCTATTTCTAAGTTTGGAGGACTTTTAAATCATACGTTTGTTTATATCCTTGTTATTCACATAATATTACATATATCTAATACAGTAATTTATGAATATCCACAGATTAATCTGCCTTTTCTTTGATAAAATAACTTATTACGAGGTAACAAGTGATGTTTTGCATTAGTAATGGAAATCAGATAAAGTGTAGTAATATGTAATTGAAATGTAGTATCGCAGATAACATAATATGGTAGTATCCAGGAGAACTGCTCAATTTTCATTAACCAGTTAGGTTACATAACCCCCGTTTTTCTTAACAATATGAATTAAGGCGATAACAAATTAATGTAAAGTATTTTTTGTGAAGAATTTATTGTAAATATTGCTTTTTTTTATACCCTGTATATTAAAAAAATATAGATACATATTGATAGGCATCGGTACATATGTTTAGTTTACATAGGGGATGAAAATACCTAGTCCAATAACTAAATTACTATGATAATCTGTCCAGTTATTATACTAATTTAGTTTTATGTTCCTACTACTTATTATATATCTATAGGAAAGTATTTAAAGTAATCTTAAATTATTTCCTTAAATATTAATGAAAACGAAATAATACTTCCGATGCTCGTTTTTCGACGCAACGGTGCTATTCTATGAAGGCCAATATCACTCACAGTATTAAATTTAAGAGTGATATATAAGTACGAACGTCGTTCCGGTAATAGTGGATGACTAATCTAGCAAAAAATGAAATACTTAAGTCCATATAAATAAAGAGCAAGTCAAGTCCACCATACGAGTATGAAGATCAATGCAAAAGTACATTTCAATGAGATCATTCAACTCCGTATCGGTGTCGATAACAAGACCCCATACTGTCTGAAACCGATTTAGCATGAAAACATTTTGAGCGATGCTCAGGTTTGGCATAAGGTTTTTCTTATTAAGAAATCCTTTATTATCTGTCTGCAATTTGATACTTGATCGGCAGCTGGCGCCTACCGCTTCCGTAGAATGGCTGCGCATTCGATTCCAGTTGCGGAATTCGATATTTTGTTGATGGGCCGATATTTGGACGTATCTGAGGAAGGTGATCTTGTCTCGTGCGCCGCTATTCTGTAACTTTATAGGGTTTTGTGGTGTCGGAACAATAGAGTGCTGTCAAGATAATAGACAGCTTTAGATTGTCATCAATTATCATTAATGTTAATCGTTTATCTCTTTTGTGTATAATAATGCAGATGCTCTGATGGAGCTTGCACTTTTATACATACCACTGCTTTGCGATTCATAATGTATGTATTTGAAATAAAATCAATACATATTGAAAATTTCAATAAAGTCTACTTCAGTATATTTTGTATACAAAGTTAATAATAATTGTCTGTAGTTTATATACAGAATGTTGTAAATTTGCTTGTTTATATTGTAATAGATTAATTTATATTACTCATAAAGCCTGATACTTCCTAGAACTCACACGTCATGCATATTTATACAAAATAAAATGAAATAATAGCTACAATACCTTTACTAGATTTTAGCTTAGCCTCCGACATTATTATAGTTATTACCCGCTTTGGAATAAACCTAATACCTACATAAATGTTTAACTTGAATTTTAATTAAATAGCCATATCTATAACATTACAGCTAGATTCATAGACAAACTTTCTATTCTTAATTATTATTTAGAAAAAAAATATTAAAGTTTTATAATAAGATATCAAAGTATAATATGGAGTTAGCTTTACATAAATATTAATACAAAGACTTCACTGATGTCAGTAAATAAATGTACTACATGAATAAATGTTTTTATAAATTTGTATTTAATCCGGTCCGGTCAGTAATAAAAAACATAGAATATAGTCAAATTACTGAATATGTGGTATGTGTATTATACTACAATATGTATATATACTATTGTATTATTAAAAAGATTAAACAGGGTTTGTTCTTTTTTTCCATATTTTGAGATATTGGATAATAGATTTAAATTTCAAATAAGTGCATATGAAATAATATTAATCTCATATTATAATAAAAACATCTCATAATAAAAACTCATATTAATCCATACACGTGTCTATTAATTGCATAATACTGAAAAAATATATCGCAGTAGTAGGTAAATTAATCAACTTTGCATGTAGGTATAGCAACAATGTAATTGTTGCTCCAAATAATCTGTACATACTAGGTCAGGAGTGCAAAAAAATATATTGTTTTATAATTATTTCAGTGTTGCGTAATTCCAACAGACAAAAATGGTTTCGTTTGTAATTTTTTTAATGTAACATTTTTTGCTTTAACGGAATGTAATTGTGATGGGTTGAAAAAATCGATTTTTTTTTTTTCATAAATTCCTCCCTTATCATGTCTAGAATACGGTAGTAAAGCGATTTTAGAAAATAAAAGATCTGAAAGAGCGGTACAGTTGGCAGTTAGAGACTAGGTCAGGGCCTCCCTTTTTCTTCGGGCTGTTAAAAAGGATAAAACCAATAAAGGAATAGCAAAAAAAAAGTGTTTTATAATTACCTATAATTATTTCAGTTCTTCTGTTGTCGTAATTCAAACCGGTTTTCGAACAGACAAAAATGGTTTCGTTTGTAATTTTTTCTTCATTCTGTAAGCAGTTTTAATGAAGGTTTTCAAGGTTTTTAAAAGTTATGTCGATTATGGGATGCCCTGTTGGTCGTGAATAAATGAAAAGCATACGCTCTGATGATGTCGTTAAACAAGCCAGGATTGACTGAGCTTCTGCTTTAAAAGAGTTTCACGAGGAAGAGGAAGGAATACTCTATGGACCAGGCATCGCCGATTGAGAGTAAGTTGATATTTTAATAGTTTTTAACGGACTTGAAACTTTAAACGCGTTTTTCTCAAAACTGTGTTTTTCAAACTTTCCTCCATTGTATCTCAGAAACGGCTGGACCGAATTACAATTTACAGGACACTCAATATATGTAAACGCATGGAATGAACTATTATCAATCGAAAATTTTCAAAACTGTTTTTTTATAGCAAAAAACAAAACAAAAAACGCCTTTTGGTCTATCAAAAATCCAATTTTTTTTATATTCATTTGATTATAGATTCCGTGCTTTTAAGCCTACAAATTAAAACGCTAAGCCGATCAGCTATCTTTTTTTCGAGGCGGGGGTGTTCAAAATTTTTAGCTGAAATTTTATATTTATACTGTCCAAATATGTGTTAATAAATGATAAAAAACTTGAAGCTCTAAATATTTACTGGTCGACCTAAAATATCCCTAAAAAACAGGCCGTCACATAGGAAGACCCCCTTAAAACAGTTACAATGGAGAAGGAAGGATAATGTCACATTTTGGTGAAAGCTCTATCTAAAAAATATTCTACGACTTGCTTCAAGTTGGAAATTTGGAATTGATACTAGCCTGTTAGAGTATTAATTTGCACCACAACTGTAAGCAAATAATACATGAAGTAGTCCTAGGTCACACATTCGAGTTAGTCATATATTTACTATTACAATAGGTAAAAAAGCTAGTAATTAATTATGTTATGAAAACTATCATCATGATTGCACATGCACCTGCACCATTGCACCCTTGTATATCTCTAATTTGTTACCTATTTGTATGTAGTACAATATATATATATATATATATTGTACTACATACAACGGTGGCAAATATGCATTGATTGTATCTTTAATTCAAATATATTAGTTACGTTACTATATTAAATATACTAATATAGTTTTAACTAACAAAAAACGACCGTAATATACTTATACCAATTTGTTACGAAGTGAGACTTTCCAGAAAAGTAGGTACAAGTATCTATAATTATTGCACTCGTAAAAATTAACTAAATTTGAAAAACTAACTTGACGAATTACATAGTTCATTTTTCTTTTTACATGTAAACTGGAAAATAATACTATCTAACTCCTTATATTTATGTAAACAATAGTAAGTTTACTTATGTATTTTAGTAATGTACATGTATTTTATTTTATTTATTTATTTAGGCATGTTTTATTTATGTCTGCCTTTAGTATTTGTAAGTGTATGTATTTTGTGCATACCTTACGCAACATATCTTTTCACTAAGTGTGTGTAAACCATAAGGCCGCCTTTTGTTTAGCAGATTTATGTAAAGTTTTTTTTATAGTACATACGTTTCTCTGCTCAATAAATAGTTATATTACTATTATTAAATATATTTCGTGATTATTATACTTTTAAAATTATAATAATCACGAAATATACCTCTAATGCGAAACTTCTTTAATGTTACTCGTTTTATTGATGTTGTTTGAAGTGATTATTGATTTAAAGACTATTATGACAAAGGCTGAAGTGTGGTGGTGTGTATACTGTGTAGTTAGACCTAGCGGCGCACGCGCCCTACATGCATAATGTGCGGTGTTACGGCGCGTTACGTGCGCGCGCGCCGTTATGCAAGCCGCGCGGAACCGGCGGCGGCGCGGCGTGAGAAGCCGCACAACACCTGTAATACACGTTGGCCAACTTACGGGAACAGATACAGCAAGCGGAAAAACTCATGGGACTTAGAATCTAGGTGAGTTTCGTTCCGCAGAGACTATCTATATTATGATTATATTAATACGTGAAGCAAACACTTTATACCTCTTTTTACGAAAATTGCACGAAGTACACTCCTCGGGAGTATGACACAGACTTTTAGTTTATATAGAGAAGGAGTGCAGTGCTATTATATTTTTATATTATACTATAAAAACACATTAAATCAACAAAGAAAAACATTATACACAGTACCTTGTATTTGACACACATACGCATAGAAGACAATAGAGCCTTAATAATGTTCAAACTTATAATTTAAATTAATTATGATCTAATTTCGATCATTAGGCGACCACTATTGGATAGTAATAGATGCTTCATATTTTTTTAAATAAATGTAATACATTTAATAACTATTAATTTATTATAACAGCAAATTATATAAACTCATTACCCGCGAATTCGTCTGCATTTTTAAATAATTAGCCCATATACAAACGTCATGTATGTAATACAATTCATCTGTTCATTAAGATCCGTTTAGGCGTTTAGTTGTAAAAATACATAGACACGACTTCGTAGTTATAATATTAGTACCGATGTCATATAATAATATGTGAACTTTTCATTAAGAACTTAAAAACCCAATATAGATAAGAATTAAATAAGTACTACATGTTTATAGTAACACAAAATAATTTCAATAATCCATTGACATAGGAACAGGTAATTGAATGGCAACGCAGCAACAATAACACAAAATATATCTACAGCTGCAATGTTAAATTGTACACAGCATTAATGCAACCAGACGCCGAAAAAACCGAACTACAAGACGCGTTTGTTGAGCAAACATGTGCGGCTCAGTTCCTTAAAAAACGACGAACTGAAAAAAGCAATGAAAAAAGTCACTCGAACGCTGAAGCTTGCTCGACTGACAGGAAATATGATATTTTATTTTGGGCGTGGGATCAAACCCGGTCGATAATTTGTGTTCCGAATAGAACATCACAGGCAACGGTGAAATTAAATTGTTAAATACGTTCTGTTATTAATAAGGAAGGGAACGCTCTTCATTATGTAGAATACCTTTGAACGTTATTTTCTTATGGAGCCCGATGACGGTAATCAAAAATAATCCCTGTTAAAAGAGTATTGGAATGTTCCGATGATCTATGAGATATTTCTATGTTTTAAACTTAGATCGTTGGATAGTGTGATGTGTGAATTTTATCTTCCTATTTTTCAGAATTTTGTCAACAACTGTGCCTGAACAATCTACCTACTGATTCCACGTTTTAATAAAGAGAAAATATATATCCATCATTGTAATGTGAACTCTCTTTAGAAACAGCCATACAACTGTCGAAGTGAAGATAGGGAGTGGTCGCAACAATAACACCGAGAAGAATCAATATCAATCAGAATCAATCAACACCCGGAAGCCGTTGGAGCGACTGATTGTCCGTTTTGATCAGTGGTGTGGAGAACATATACCTATCGTAGCTAAAATCTATATGGACTGACTAAATGGCGCCAGTAATTTCGACAGTCATTGCTACACGAGTATAAATAACAATTATTGCATTTCGCTTTTATCTAATTCGTATTTGATAATCAATATTTAGATAAAGTGATAAATTCTGTAAAATTTACAATTGTAAGATACTGGAACCTAAACTAAGAATGTCAATATCTACACTGTTACATTGCCAGATATTGGCACTTGTTGTTTAGCAACAATAAATGATAACGGCTCATCACTTAGTAATGTTTCTTTTATTTTTATAACATATATCTCGATGCAGTTAATTGCATGTATCATACACGACATATACTTAAAAATTATACTATATGTAGTTATTCTTAACTTTAACTTCAAAGTCGATTTAATAAAATATTTAATTCAGAGTTAATACTGTATGTTAAACGTGCGAAGTACATATTAAATATCAGTCCATCTCGATGAATTGAAAGAGTCACTAGAGCGTACGATCGCTAATATTATAAATCGCGCAGATTATATAACGCCATTACTGGCGCATAATCTAAAACCGACCATTATTATAGCCTGATGAAGACAAGGCTAGTGTCTAGCGTCCAACTTATCCCAGTCGAGGCAGGTCATCTCGAAAGATAGACACCGAAGTAACGCATCGCGTCCACCCCGCCCACCGAATCCCTCTCACCAGTCACGCTTGATGAGGTCAAAACGCTAGTTAAACAACTACCTATCAAAAAATCACCCGGCTCAGACGGCATATCGAATAGATTAGTCAAAAGTCTGCCATCCCAACTTTTGTTCTTAATTTTTAACGCGGCGCTGTCCAACATATTTCCAGACAGCTGGAAAGAAGCCGTGGTCATTGGCATCCCCAAGCCCGGTAAAAATAGATTAACAAAATATACTGCTCATCAATGAGCAGTTTTATTATTTCAATATCATCAAAAACTGTAAAAGTCCCCCAAAGGCGGTACAGGCGTCCTATTTTTCGATGTGGCTAAGGCTAAAGTTTCATCAACATTAATTACGTATTCATATATAACGGAGCGTTATCCGACCCGCAATAATACGAGCCGGCGTCCCTCAGGGCGCCGTCTCTCTCCGAATCTACTCGTTGTACACCAACGACATCCCCAAATTCTCCGACTTAAAAGTCGAAATATCGTGATGATGAAGTCAATGATGGACGGCTTCACTGTCGTAACGATATATCGTCGGTTTCGAAAAAAGTGCAGCAGTGTACGGTATATTCGACTCTATGAATCACCGAACTATTCGGCCAAAACATCCCGTGGGTTTCGAAAACGAAATATCTCGGCGTCACCCTAGATAGGAAACTAACGTTTCGTCCTCACATCAAGCGTGTCCGCGACCGAGCCGCCTTTATACTAGGGCGTTAACAAGCACAGTAAAATGTCGCTTCGCAACAAGCTGACATTATACAAGGCTTGCATCCGTCCCATCATGACCTACGCTAGTCCCGTATTCGCCCACATACCCTACTGCTTAATCAACAGACTACAGGTCATTCAGAATAGGTTTCTGCGTCGAGCCACCGGTGCGCCGTGGTTCGTTCGTAGCGTAGATCTCCACCGCGATCTTAATCTGCCCTCCATCAAGCAGTTTATGAAGGAAGCGTCTCGACGCTAAACCCACCCTAATCCGCTTATAGTCAGTGCGGTCGAACAAATACGCGACAACGTCGCCCGAGGCACGTTTACCATAACGGCAGGTAACCTCCCCACGCCCAGTTGACACACACACACGACACCGTATTAATAATAACAATATCGCGCATTCAACCGGGCGCCTGCGCGCGCCCGGGCGCTCCACTAGATCCCCGTCCCAAACGGGGATCGAAATTACGACGGCCTGAGCCGAGGTTCGAACCCCTAGTGGTGCCCTCAGACTAAAGTCGTATCCGTCGGGCAGGAGTTGGCCTTCAGCCGCTCCATAAGTCCTTCCGCGGGTTTGGAGTGCCATCTGCACTCGCCCCATAACGTCCGGTGAAGCTGTAAAGGCCAGCTACGGCCAACAGCAGTAGAGTAGTCCGAAAAAAAAAAAAAATGAATTGAAAGAGTCAAGCTAATATTATATTTAATTATTTTGTTAATTTGTCGTATTAAGATAACAATATTAAAGAAAATAATATCAATAGATTAACAAAATACTTGAGATTTATTATTTAATACATCAAACTGTAAACGTAGCAACTATTTCAACAACATTAATTACGTATTCATATATAACTGTAATTATGAATAAATGAATGAATAGAATAAATTGAATGTGATGGTGATGATGATAGCAATGATGGAAACTGTCGCATATATCCAATTTCGAGGACGTGACGGTATATGAAGTCCCTGGTACCGAGTAGCCCTCATAGCCGTTTTATAGGGCCAAAATTTCTAGCCTCTGCAAACACCAAAACATAGCAACAAATTTACATAGGTCTACGCAGTTGACATATTAATAATAATAAAGTACACGGCGCCTTCTAGCCCTAAGGCAAGCCGATCTTCTATTATGGACACTAGACTACTACTAACTTAGTTAATAGAACCTTTTTATTTTGTAAGAATATTAATATCCATAGATAACACCCATTATACTCATGATTACAAATGTTTGCTTCGTGTGAGGAATCGAAACCACCACCGTTAGAAGTAAAGCGGTGTGCTAAACCGCTAGAACATCGAGTAACGAGGTACACGGCCATATGCACCACCAATACATTAAACGTTAAAAAGAAAACCTTTCAAATAAAAATAAAAATATATAATCTGAATAATATGTATAAAATTAAATTGAGAACTTTCACAGAAACATGCATGATATTTTGGTTAGGCTTGACAGGTTTCAAAACGGTTACACCGCGTTGTAATAAAAATACAATATTAAATGGGAACATGCACTAATAACGTGAAGGGATGCTGAGTGGTCCTTATATGATTATACGGTACATAAGACGGTGTCGTTGAGCCTATAAAATCGCCTAAAGTGTAAACACACGTAAAGATCGCGGCGCACGCACTCGTAAAATCTATTTCTCGCGTCATTGCGGGCGGCTAGTATGCAGACGTTAACAGTGGTGACAATCAACGCTATTTAAAAAGCATAACTGAAACTCCTATGGAATTTTTATTTCATTTCAGATGGTCGTTGTCTAATTGAATAAATATTATACTGAGGTTCGTTGAGTTAATAATAGTTAGTTCGTTGAATAAACATAAAAAATATCTACCGTATAATGTTAACTTGTACGTCTTCTTTTGAAATCTTCTATTCTATATATTCAAATATCCTATATGTTCATAAAAATCTTGACTTATTTCCAAAAAACAGCAATATTCATAATATTAATACTAGATTTAATTTAAAAAAAATTAAATTTACTGTCCCCAAGTATCGTTTAGAAAAAGTCAATAGGTCTTTTATGGGAATAGGTATAAAAATTTACAATAAGATACAAAGGATATATTGGAATTACCCTTAAATAAATTAAAACATCTGTTAAATCATATTTACTGAGCAAAGCCTATTACTCACTAAACGATTACATGAATGACATGCGGTTGCAACAATTTATATTAGACATAGACACCTATATAAATACCTATATATTGTAAATAATTAAATAAAAAAAAAGTAATTCAATTGAGTTCCTTGCCAGTTCTTCTCAATTGGATCTATATACCGAACTGGACGGTAGGGAAAAAAATATAATCTAAAAACTTGATGTTCATTAGCGGCAAAAATACATGAATTTTTAATTTTGAAAGATAATCATTAGTAAAGTGAATAAATCGTTAACAATGCCTTTTAGTAATTTCAATGAATTACTAAATATGGATTTAATTATGATAGTGTATAAAAAGATGCTGCATCAGAGTTAGTTTCTATAGTAGAAAACGAATAATAAGACTAATAAAATCTTTTAAAATAATAATTATATACAGCATCAAACATCTCTAAAACGCACATTACTTCACGGGTAATTCATCAAAGTCAGTTGCATCAGTTACCATCAGGCTCGGGGACAAAGACAGTGAGTCATCAACAAGATTATTAGAACGAATGTTGCACATGCGCACACGCATGACGTTCCATCTTGATTACTATTCTAAGAGATCAAGATTTTTCTCATTCACAATAATTTCATGGTGATGTAATTAAAATAAAATGTGAACTATGTTTGTTCTTAGATTGATCAATTTTAGAGTTAAAGTAAAATAAAGTAGTATAAGTTAAAATATTAATAATTATATATGCATATTACAGTTTTAGTTTTATGAATGTTTAACTCGGCCGCATACCCTTTATGATTAATAATTATAACCCTGTAGAGAGAGAGCCTATCTTAATAATATTATATACTTCAAAATCTAGAATAATTTAAATTATGTGTGTTAATGTAAAATATAAAAACGGTAAACACTCGTCAGTTCTACTAATTATAATTCGATGAAAACTATATGTGATAAAATGATATTTCAAGTAATTATAGATACTATTTTGTTTAAGTTTACCTGAAATGATTGAAGTGAGTTATCATGATATACGAATAATGATGACTCAACAAAACATTATTTTAATAATACATAAAATAAAATAAAAAATTGTACAATATTATAATATCAGTTTATTAATATGTTGGTTTTAAATTGAAATAGATGTAGTAAATTTTGAGTGTTATTTATATATTTTTTTAATATAAGCAGTTATTTATTTACTATAAATAACTGGGCTATCAATAGAAATGCCGGATATTAAAATATTTTGTTTCTTATTATTTTAATTAAACATAATCCGGAAAAAGGGAAGTCACAAACAATCATTCGTATATTACTTTTAAAGCGATAACATAAGTTATCTTAAGGTCAAGTATAAATATATATACAACAGAAAACAAAACAGTTTGCTGGCAAAAAAATAACAAATTGTTTTATATATTACTTATACTTTTATCACGAACCTTTACTCATCTTCATCTATAAATTGAGGGATATAATTACGAAATTTTACTCTCTCGGGCACCACAAAATATTTTATGACATTGTCCCGTTTATGGCCTACAGCTATTTGAAGTCCTACGAATGCATCAGTCGTAGGAGTTAAGTTGCGTCGTGGAGTAGCGCGTATGGATATCTTCGCCACAAGACCTGGCGCTAACAGAAATCTTGTGCGAGGTGAGCAAAGCCATTTAGCTCCATAGCGCGCTGTATCATCCAGTAAACCACAGCACCGGATATAGATAGAGCGTGAACAATTGTTCCATACCCTAGAAAATATCATACGTTTAATTAGTCAATATACATTTTACATAGGATAGACATACAGGAGTTGTACTCCTGAATTTTCATTTTAACCTCGCGAAATAATATCTCCATACTCTCATTTTTTGACTACGTAACTACTTCAATCATGATATAGGGAGGTCGTAATCTTTACACATATATCCTAAATTTTTACAAACTACTAATTGACAAATTAAATGTATATAAAATAAGATCTTCTCTTAATTATTTAAAAAAAGATATATTCACTTCTGTTTGCGGTATTTTTCACTGTATTTCGATCGTTAGCACAATCTGTGCCATATATTTACATATATAGCCAGGTTTATAAATAAAATATTTGCACCTTTCAAATAAAGTAGTGCGCAATCATATCATATCTCTAACATTCAAATACATTTACAAATACTGGTCTAGGCAATGTATTCACAAACGGAAACCATCTTGGACTTCCTATTCTATGTCGGAAAGCGGAAACACATATCGATGCCGGAACTTCCGGACTGTAATTCCGGTGGATAGCTGTTCATCTTAGTATTCTATTTGTAACTGGTTCTATTATAAGCTAGAATTATTATAGAACAGTTAACAATCCATTGATCGTCAATAGCTTTAATTATTAAAATGGAGACTAGTAGCCTAGTAGACTACTACAATAACAAGCTTCTAGCTATGATCCTCAATGTAAGCTTTATGAATTCAGAAACAATAATATTTACATTTAGTTTGAACCTCGATTTTGCATTGCCCTATATCACACATAGATATTAATTTGTACAAAGCTAACGTTGTTTTGTTTTAATTTGTAGAGATTTCATCAAATATATAATATGTATGTAGCTGTGTATAGTGGCTGAGAATAAATACGAAGTACTAATAAATGTCTTTCTCTTAAATGAGAACTGTCGTGTGCATATCAATGAGACTTTGATGATGAATAAATTAATAGAGTAGTAGATACCTATTGCGTCTCCTAAGTTCATAGAACGAAAATAAAACGAACGTTTGAATGAACATTATTTTGGTGTTTCAAATGAGTAGGAAAATAACAAAAACTTGGGTGATAGGTCATCGTGATTATTTTCATAATGTTATGTTTATTAACAAATACCAAGTTTTATATCATCTCTATAATATGATAGTTGATAATAATACCTATTAAGTCTTCTCCTATTTGCATATTACGCAGAATTTAATAAACAGTACTAACCATAATTTATTAGTAATCGCTGTTTCATTGATTTCAAAACGTAATTGTTCAGGAAACCATGTAATTTTTAAATCGTGTAGTAGCTTCGATTTGACTGGTTTTTTCGATGATATACCCTCGGTGGTAATGGCTTGTAGGTTAATTGTTGGCACCAGTATATCCAGCAGTAATTCGGCTAATGGAACCTATTTAAATGTGATTAATTAAATAATAACGAAGTTTAGTTCGTACTGTAACTAAACTTCGTTATTATTTAACTTAGTTCATCTTAGGACGATTTACGATTAATCCAAACCTTTATATTCGGTCTCGCCTAATTTATCACCAGTGGTAAATATTAAGAATATGCATGTAATGGCATGTGCCCATTTTTGGATATTATAAGTTGCAACAATGTAAGTGCCATCAACCTTTGACATTGATACATTAGTCATTTATTTATTAATCTGTAGACCTTGTTCGCAATAAATATACTTATCTAAGAATTATGCAGTATTTCATTTGTAATATAAAAAATGAACCCTTTGGGAAATATAAGATCCGTCAAAAATAAAAATAAAATATTGATTACTGCACTATTACATTAAGAACATGCCATTATGTACTAAACACAACATTAAGATAATGCCATATTGCCATATTTGTTATCGTCTATATCTATACAGTTCTACTTTGTAAATCAGGAAATTGGGTTATTTTCTATTACTTAATAAGGATATGTATTATTTTCTGCTTGCCTGTTCTGGTACATTCGTGGATTACAACATATTAATAGCGGAAGAGAACATTGTGGCTCCTCCGTTGTAACTTGCGTCAGAGTTGTTGACATCGTACAAATTCAAATTTTCACTTTTTAATAGTAAAAAATCAATTACAAATAATGTAAATTACAAAAATAATTACGGATTATTTACTCAGTGATGTCTGTCTACATTTTGACATTTATAGGACAATACACTAGACATAGAATGAGAAAAAATAATGCTAGGACAGTGTGGTTAACAATCAGATAAAATTTTATTATAGCTACTCAAACACAATTGTAGACAAATGATGATTATCAGAAGTAATCAATTATATTAAAAAAATAAACAATTAGGTCCAATGCATTAAAATTGGAAGACGTGTTGCAAAAACCGACATCGTTGGTTCGTATAGCAATATATAAAATACAAAACAAAGTATTGACTAGTACATAATAGTCAATATGTCTACGATATATATTCTAAGAATAAAAAACTCCGCAACTTATATAATATTAACTTTTCCTACCACATCCAGCTAACAAAAGAATAGGTACTATGTCATATGAAGAAATCTATTACTCAGTTGTCGTACCTATTCATATTAATATAAACGATTTAAGTTACAAAGCAATATGAACACTTGAATTACCCATTACCAATGATGCTATTGATAATGATTAATATTTATAAAAGGTTGATAAAAATCGTGTCAATGAGTATTGTCGTGAAAGCCGAGTACTCGGTTGCAAGACGGCGACGACGCGTGACGGCGGCGTCGGCTCCCGTAGGAGCGGAAGTCTTGCGCGCTTCCGTTGAGCCCACCATCCGGAGATCCGGTCCGTATCACGACTACAGCGACTTGCTTTACTTACCACCCACTGGATACAGAAGTACCTACGTAGTTTGATACATTGTAACGTGTATATAATGTTCAGTATATAACGTTTATAATCTAGGTGAACCAGTTAGTAATGAAGAAAATGAAAGATATTAATTAAAACTCTACATTACTGACATAGAACTGGCCATACAACTAAACTAATCGGGGGTTCTAGGCTTCTCTAGACTAGAGAGACATGGTATTCAATTCAAACTAGTGCAAAGATTCGCAGAATCGCGCCACTAGAACATTATAGTAAAATAAGACGACACATCGCAGTGGACTAGTGTTCAAACATAATCAAATTACCAATAAACTGGTTATAAAATGAAAATAAAGTTTCATAGATAATTCAGTGACTTTTGTCGGTCCGTTTTCTCGGACGGATGTTAAGTCATATTTAAAATTTACAGTATATACGTTTCTTAATAATGGGCTGTAGGGCAGCTGGTAAGTACACCTAAAGGTTATATTTAGCGATTTTGCATGCAGACTCTATGGTATAACCTACTGTTTCCAATATAATCATAGAAAACATCTAACAGGTAAATGTAGACGTTGTATAACGATAATGTTATACAAATAAACTATGATTATATTATCCTTGTAGAGGTAACATGAAACCTTCATGTGAATAATAGCAAAGTTAAAGTTATAATGGATTTCGTTAGGATTTATTTGGTCAGGGGCGTTTAGTAGACTAAACAATGAGATCAGGACGTACCGTGGTTGTGACGCTATCAGACGCCTAATTTCTGAACAACGACATTGATTCAATAGGCGATTTGCTCTACGATACATATAAACAAATCTCCATTTGTTTCAATTTTAGTACACGTAAGTCTTGTTTCATTAATCATGTAAATACTAATTTTACTAATGTTACATGTATGTTTGGAATACAATTTTTGAATATTCACACGTTTTCATATAACTTCAATAGGATTTTTGTTTTCTCTATGTGTACATGCTAAATTAATCTGTGCAACAGTAAGATTTATATATACATATATTAATACTTTACAACTATGTTAAAAAAGAAATATTAAATTAAATGATCATAGTTCTAATATATTTTTGTGTGTATGTAAACGTGTTACGATATTTTTTTTACGCCAATTAATTCAGAACAGATTTGCCCATATTACTTATTTAAAATAGAAAGGTTTTTTCTTGCGTTGATTCTATACCTGCTAATTTTACAACATAATATATATTGTATACTTATGTGGTAAATAGACATAATACTAATAAATTATTCTTATCGTTGCTGTACCGATTCCATTGTATTTATAAGAAATTTAATTTTGTTTAAAATAAAACAAGATACAAGATAGTATTTTATTATTAACTGCATATACATAGTATTTTTAATACTAATGTCGTGTACAAAAATGATTTCTTTCAGTCAGATGCATGGTACCTATAACATAATATGGAGACCACCTCTTACGACATGATATTTTGGTAAGTTTTTGTTTTCTAATTCATCATCATCTGCTTCTTCCTTATCCCATTTATTTGGGGTCGGCGTAATATGTTTTTCGTTTCCATTCATCCCTGTTCGCAGTAATCGCGTTATTTACTTCCATTCTTACCATATCATCTTTCACACAGTCCATCCATCTCTTTTTCGGCCTTCCTCTGCCCTTATAACCATCCACATTCATATGTAACACCTTTCTTAAAATATTATTCTCGTTCCTACGCATTACATGTCCATACCATGATAGACGATTTCTCTTCAACCTCTCTGACACCGGTGCCACTTTCATACTTCACTTTTTTTGGTTATACATACATATTGACCACCAAAAGTAAGTATTTATTATTTGTAAGTTTTATGATAGTAATATTCCCAAGGACTTTTTTCAAAATCAATTTAATAAAGATTTTTATAGATTTACAGTAATAAATGTCACTCAAGATGACTATAGTAACTTTTATATACCCCTCAGCTCTCTACTTTATTGCCTACTTATTGTTTTCGAACACACAATTCGCACAAGTTTATCATGCTCACATAATTTAAGATTACCTGATTTATATGCGGTGCTGTACATACAGTCAGTAAGTTATATTCAAGTGCTTTATCGAATATGACAAAAACAATGACTGTAATCTCATAATATATGATGGATGATACACTTATTATTTAGAAATAAAATATAAAAGTGACTCAATTTACTGATTTCAGACACACCTACTAAATATGCGATAGCTACGTCATACTTACCAAAATTTTAGATAATATAGTGCATTATCATCTCCACTAGATACACGTAGGTACATACTACTTAGTTATTTTCATTAGGTATGATTAATATTTTAATTCGGTTTCTTCTCCGATTTTTACTATTATTGATTTACTTTATTTATATAATACTCGCTTTTGTGTATTTAACAAAGTAGTTATTTTGTGTCAGAATGAAAAATATAGTGTCATCTGATATGAAATTACACTTGATATGTATTAGTAAAAGGGTTTGTTTGTTATACATTTACGTAGTTATATTACTCATTACTATATTTTTAAGAATTAAGGATGTAATTATCTACATAAATAATTGGAAATTGGAAAACCAACTGAGCCGGTCGGAATGTCGGAGGACTTTCCAGCAATGGTGAGAAGAACGTGAACATTCTGAGGGGGCTGAGGAAGCGGGGAAAGGGGAGACGAGGTGAAGTAACGGATGAATGTCCGTGGGAACGGTCGCCACTTCCGCTCTGATCTACTCACGCGCACCTCGATACTCTCAACTATTTCCTTTAAGTAGGGTGACCCTTACAATATGAGGGACGCTGGATGAAAGATAAAAGTAATATAGGCCAATTTTTACCGATGTGACCATACAAAGTGCAGAATTATACAAGAATTTCACGCTGTACCTTCCTATAACAGATATACACCATGGACATCACAGAAAGCGTAGTGACAGCAATAGTGCATTAGGCAATCTCTCAAATATATGTCTAGTGTAGTGTGTATAGTGTCTCCATATACTCTTTTCTCATTATACGCTATTTCATTTGAAGTTTCGTTGAGGATTAAAACTTCGTTCAAAAATATTTTATTAAATTTAACCTCGATTTTGTCCTTATTTTTAAATTTGAGTGCACCAGAATATTTTTGTCCACCCATTTCTACGTTTAATTTATGTTGCATGTGCCCTTGACACAACGTATGATTATAATGTAACTTTTAAATTCGGATATCCGTCAGTTACATTTACCGTTTACGGATATTCTACTCCGGCTAAATACACCTCTAACATCAAAGTATAGTATACGTTGGACAAGTCCGTTGACCGGTGTCGTAAGTCGGGGCTGCGGCGCTTGCACCGGTCTTGTTGTTATCGGCGGAAGCGACGCGACGGAAACGCGCAATCTCAACCAATTGGACGAGCTTGTCACGCTATGCACACATGCCCCTTGCGATTTACTTTCCTAACAATTCTTGCGCATGTTTATAAATAACGAAATTCTTAAAAATAACGATGTTTCCAAAGGTAGCAGTATAAGTAACTTTGTTTATTACTGACATCTAGTTAACCGTTACCCGCGATATCGACTGCGTGGGATTAAACTTTTTTTATTAATATTAATAAAATTTCTAAAATAAAAGTAGACTAAGACTAACTCCTTATAACATTACCTATCTGTGAGTAAAGTTCCGTCTAAATAGATATGGATCTATTAAATTTTATTTAATGTATTATATGTATGAGTTCTATAAAGGTAGAGACTCTACTTTACAAGTAGAAAGCTGTTATATGAAAGAGGATTAATAATGTGGGTAATATTTTATGTGCAATGGTTTTATTTTATGCTTGCATATTTGGGACAATAATACATTCACAAAAAAGCAGATACACATATATAGGATAAGATAAATAACTGTTATAGAATAGTCTTATTTTGATGATATTGTTTCTATAATTTATATCTTAAAGTTAATTTAAAAGGATGGAATTGATTATTTAATTGCAAATAATTTATATTACAATTACTACTTGTATTATTTCTTGTATTATATAACTAATATAAAGATATGCAGTATAATGTAATAATATGTAACTATAATAATCATGATAATGTAAATAGGTATAATACAATACATAATCATAAATAAGAATAGAAAAACTATAATAAATAATAACAAAAAAGCATAGTTCATTGCAATTATTATTTTAACAACTTATTAATGGCACAATATTACTATGTATAGAAAATAATATGCTTTTAAATTTTAGTAATTTTTTTCATTACTGTGTTGTATTGTTGTTGAAGGCCTATCTAAAGATGTATGTGTAGGTAGGTATTCTAGATAATATATCTATGGCTACCTTAAGGATTTGCCTACCACGTCTTCTATGAGTAATAAATCTCAAAGATATTGAAATGAGTATCTGAATTTTTAACTATGACTAAGGAGATAAGCCTCCTATATCACATATTTCCTATTCAGACATATTAGGTACACACGGGGATTTTCATATTATTAGATTTTTAATAATTACATTTACAGCTTACAACGTGGCGAAGTAAACAAAGGGGGAAGAGTTACATGAAGGTGAACATGAACAGCACCACGGCATCGGTTATTACAAAATACAGTGTGCCATTCTTGAAAACTAAGATATCGCGTCTCAATACCCAGTCATTTGGTTTGCTTGTTATAATAAGATAATGAATGCAATCTCAGTCACAAGCGGCATATAATGTCTTAGTCATAAGGAGTGGCAACGCACGAGAGGCTCCTTTAACGACATATTATTAGTAATAAATATTGTACCATATCGCAGTTTTTTGTAGCGTGTTCATCATTCCGATTAATAGTATGTGTACTTGATTCAATTTTTATATTGATATTTTTATTTTTGATAAAATTTCTAAAATCAAGAAAAATTGTTTATTTGTCTATAGGTATATTCTTGGCTACTAAAAGCAGAGGTCTAGTTATAATAAAAAGCAAGAAACTAAGTGAGTAAGTTTTGAGAATTATAATTTAATTAACTAAATTAATTAAATATAAATATCATTGTGATTACCGTACATTAAATAGAGGCTTAGATGGTGATGATTTTTTTGTTTGTATCAAGTGATACATCAAATGAAATAACTTTGTCTTGTTTAAAAACATATATATATGTAGCTTTAGTCATGGACATTATAAAGTTTCGTTTAATGTAAAAATAACTATCTAGTATGATTAAATTTACGTCGTAAAAAATACAGCTGTTATGATTAATATGATATAATTTTTGTGACGTTTTATTATCATATTATAAACGTATAGCACATAATAACGCTTCCTACCTATGTCAAACTTATTCAAATATTTACATTGTAGGTAACATTACAAATATTTGAACAGACATTGACACTGAAACACAATATGTTCTAATATATGGAAGGTAACTTTTCTTATTCGTAGTTATACTTAATCACCAAGCGGAACCGGCAGTCTATAACTGCTTCCATTTTAAATTGAACCCTCTAACTTCCTTTTATACGCCGTATACTAAACGAGAGAAAGGGAAGTAAATGTGGCATGAAGGTTCTTAGAATAATGGTAGTGTCATTCAGCTGACATTGACCTCTGGAGCAGTCGTTGAAGCTACTCTCAGTGAGCATAAATATTCATAACAGTTTTATCTGCATATTAATGATGGTAAAGATGAGAATAAGTTGACGTTGAAATGCATTGACTGTGCTTGTGTACAGAAATAACTAAATGCTAGATGTTTACGCTTTATTTATTCAAGTATTATATAGTTTTAAAACATAGGTGAATATACCTAATTTATACACATTGTAGAACAAATAACATTAAATTGTTAAATTTGTGTACTGTTAATTGGTAAAAAGTTCTGTATGAGTTATATAATAATAAAAACAGCTTCATAATATTTCTGACTCCTTTGTTAAATTGAAAATTATATGAAAAATATTATACCTACAGTTATTTTATTTTAAAAGAAAACGTTATCTTATCATTTATTGGTAGATGAAGGTTTTAACATAGTTAAGGGTCAGTTTGTCATGTATCTGTCTGGTCAGTTGGTCATTTGTCAGATATTTATATAGAAAATATTATTAAATTCTGATTATCTAAAAGTTTTATACATGTATAATGTAATCAGTAGGATCTTCACAAATTGTGTAAGTACTTCTCATGTATAGACATATAATTATACATGTTAGGTGAAGCAAGTTTTTATTACTTCCTTCGCAAATCGAAACAAAAAATTCTCGTCGAGCTAGACAAAGTTCCGTGTGACCTTCACCACTGTCCATCGGTAAAAAGCGGTTGGTCCTCCATACATGAGCAAAAACAACGTGTATAAATAATATGTGATCGGAAAGTCCAGTCCGGAGTCATCTCGTTTGCGGAATAACACTTGCAAAACCGGTCACGCGTGCGACGCCAAATATCAACATGTTTCCTTCCTCGTACAGCACCAAAAGTTTAGCGGCAGGTTCTTCGGCTGTTATAAGAAAACGAATCGATTTGTTATTAACTATACTATATTGGTAAAGTTGTTTGTATTGCTAAATGCGTACAAAACGGTTTGAAATTTTACATCTCTAAACGTTCTTTGTCGCGTCTGCAAAATACATTCTATTTGCGTCCAATGTTTTCTATAAATTAATATAATTATCCGTGAAAACCAAGGGCACAAATAAAAAAGTTTTAAATAGTAAAAAGACTTTTTAACGTTATTTACCAAGCTATCTTTTATGTAATTTTCAGATTTATTTAAATTAATTTACGGCTTTTATGTATACTTACAATTATTTACTACAAGTCGCACAGTTATTGACAGCCACCAAATTTAATAAAGATCATGATCGAAATTTTGTAAAGCTGACATCATTCAATACCCACCGTATTAAGTTTAAGTTTGTTGGTCTTTAGCATTAATATACTTAATTTAAAAGTTACCATACATAATAAAAGTTTAGATGATCTCATCTAACCAACTTAAACTTAACTAAACTTAATTCGGTGAGTATTAAGTAACGTCACACATGTCACAATGTGATTAAAAGTGCTATAGTTCAATTTTTATTTAATACAATATCTATTGTATGGAACTGAGCTTTAGTTCTTTTAGGCTCAATATTAGTGAAGCCACGTTTCAATACTGTCTGATCTTTACAAGTTGTGAATATTACATTGTTCTGATAGGTATTTCACCATGTTTTAATAACTACTAAAAATATTTTTACAAAGCAACAATATTAAATTACCTAATTGATATTTTCCCGGCTATTTTAGTCACAAACAAATGTAAAACACACACACAGCAGCTATAATTAACAGCCACATAAAAAACGCCATAAACAAATATATCTATAACGCAGTACCATATGATTTTTTTTATAATTGCAAGTAAACAGATTTGAGGAAACTTGACAAATACCAATCTCATAAACTAAGATTGATATAATCATATCTAATATTAAAAACATAATAATTGTCCGATATTGACGATCTTAAAACAGAACAGCGGTTTAAAAGAATGTTCTGCCATCCATAGTCGTCATTCTTCCATTATTGAATTATTTCTCTGAATGTTTTCTAAAACTAAAATATATTTAGTACCATATTATACATAGTACTAATTAGACTGAGACTAGATAAAGCTATTTGATAATTCTTTATGGTGTGGTGTGATTTTATATATTGCAATTAATTATTGTATAGTGATTATGATAAATAAACCTATTTTCGGTAGCCGAAAAAATTGAACAACTGCTAAAAAATTTTGAATGCCCAACGTATGCACATAACTTTAGTTGCTTTTCTACTTTCGCAATTAAATAAACATTTCGTATAGATATTCATATTTTATCAGTGACGACGGCTAATACAATGTCGTCGATATGTCCAGAGATGTAAATACCTTATTTACCATAAAATTATTTCCGGGGGAGCTTTATATTCAAAATAACGTCGTGTTACTGTGCTAATGCTGCAACCTAAAAGAAATGAATAGTCGTTAGAACTTACGTGCACTGCTTTACTTGCAACATACTCGTAACATAACACGGTAGCATTTGACAAACATAATGGATGTCTGCGATTGTTTGCTAGCCATTCCTGACTGAAACTCGGGAAGTAAACAGGAGACGGAAGTCATAAGTAACGTACATGCAAAACCGATCGGATTTATCGATTGCCGTCCGGCCAATATGGCGTCGTTTTATTTATCTACCCACCTTCCTGGCGCCTTCGTTCCGCCGGATTGAAGCGCCTCCGCTGTAACCCCTTGCCTCGGTTCCGGTTTCCGGCTTTTTTCATGTCGTAGTAAGTTTCCTCTTCGTTGAGGCTTCATTTGACATCTGACCTCTTAGGCATTCAGTTTTAAAATTTCTCACAAAATTATTTTACTTAACTTACAAAAGCCTTTGTCCTGACAAACTATCAGAGAACAGTCGAATGTCAAGTATTTTTTACCGCGATTTAAAATGACGTTGTGACAAAATAAATTGGTGTTAAATAAGAGGCAGTCTGCTTGTGGACAGACTTTTGGTAATTCGTAATCTACGGAAAACTGTTAGCAAAGATTTCGTTTTATTTTTATTAGCAATATATTCATTGCCTTGCCTTTATTTGAGATCGGCGACTGTTTCCTACCAGCTATTATATCTAAACTAACCCTTATTTTTACACAATACAGTCATCTCTTTTTCAGTTGTCCTCTCCTTTTCCATTATTAGCAATAGATAATAAATTCGTAAAAAGTGTACATTGCGAACAAATCATTGCAGTTTACAATATTTCTCATTCATATAATTTTAAAACGGAACATTAAATTCTATTGGAAAGGTGCAAGTGACTATAAATTGAAATATGCATTGCTAACCAATCGAGAGCCGTAACTCCGGTGTTTCAAAATGTAAGTTTCCTCTGTTACCAAAACATTGCAATTTCTACATTCGCGGTACAACTATGCCCAACTATCATACTTAATTTGTTGACGTGTCCGACCACTTTACATGCAGATTACATACATTCTATTTTACAGACAGGTTATACGATTACGAAGAGCGTCTATGCAACGAAATATATAGTAGGTATCGAGACTACTACAAAGCTGTAGGTATGTAAACCTGACAACGCTATATATTTATTATATAGCATTATCTGTATAACAAATATACCTACTAGATGAAACAAGAAAACTCCTTTAATTTTGCTCTATTGAGTTTTGTAGTCGGTATAGAGTTCTTAGTGTCCTGAATGACAATATAAACGAACATCAATAAAACAAAAATTGAAATAATTTAAATTAATTAACATTACATTAAATATTTTTTTATGTGTCGTATGTGTAAATTCACCAAAATAGCATTTAATTTTATATGCTATGGTACAAAATAGGTGTGGTAATATTAGATGCACTATTACATATATCGGCGCTGGCATCAATCTTTGAAATAAGTTTATAGTTTTAATTATAATTATAATATTTGCTATTACTGTGAAATGTAATTGTAGAATTAATATTTATAGAAACCATTATGATTAAATTGAATTAATAATTTTAGATCCACTATAAGGCACTCAATTGTCTGCCATAATTTATTACAGAAATTAGGGCAGTCAATTGACTGACAACAATATTAGCATAAATGCTAATTATTGTAACAAAAACATGCAATTTAATAACTATCATTCTTAATAGTATTTTAGAGCTCAGCTTGTTATAATTCTCAAGCAATTAGGTAACAACGAAATCCATAATCATAAAGAGTTGTTAAACTGTGAGCGAGTACATGAGCATTCGCTCTGATTGGTCAGCACACTAGCGCCCTCTAGGAGGGGATAAGCAAAGTCTTCTTGTACTCGAACAAGGTTGAGGTGGTGAGTTACTGAGTTACCATCGTACAGAGTTACACAGTTACGGAGTGACTGAGTCACCGTGGAGCCAGGTTTGTACCTGGCTCACATGGCTTTGTAAGTCAAGTCTGCTTAGAAATAATAATAATAGTTAATTAAAAGAGCAACACACAAGTTTCTTGCTCATTCGTCTTGTGATGTATCTGCGTTCCGAATTGGTGGTAGAATCACAAATACAGTAACTATTCAAACGTGCTTACATTAAGTTTGTTTCATTATAATAACCTACGAGTTAAACAATTGGGATATTCTTGACCATGTTGGTCGAGAATAACGCAAGTGACGTCAGAGTACCTAACATAACTATATTTAAAAACCTACATGACTGCATCTGCTACGACATAATAAAATATATATATATGCCTGTTACAATAATTGAAAATATAAAATTTCTTTAAATTAAAATAACGAGGAGTTATTTAGTTCCTAAGTTAAACATAAATATACTAGTTATGTTATAAAATGCATATCAACAATATTTGGCATGGTTCCTAAAATTAGGATGCGTCAGAAATAAATAAGATGTGCGAAACTAGGTAATAGGCATATGAAGTTATCAAAACAAACCATACAGAAATAAAATTTTATAGAATTGTATCTAGACTTTAGCTGTCATTGATCGATCGAAATAATCCATAAGGTTATTTATCGTGTATTCTATAATTAAATCCCAAAAAAATTAATCAGTTATAGAAAGATATTACAGTGATGATATTTTGATTAAATTGAATGTAATTTTATAAGTACGTTCTTACTTTAAGGATTAAATAAATCCTTAAACTAAGTACGTATCATCATCATTATCATATAATATTTTATAGACTTGACACTATAGGTAAGATTTTAACATAAAGATTAAGGTTGTAAAAGGAAACTTTTTTTAGCAAAACCTTAGACGACAATAGACGTATGACAAATATTATAATAGATAATTTTATCATTTCAGTAGTGATGGATATTTTAAGAGATTTGATTATTTCTGAATCAAATCTCTTAATAGCTTCATCTAAACAAAAAGAAAAGAACACATTCATTTTTTACATTGGAATACATAAAGTTTTGCAAGAGACCGCCAATGCGGGGATCTGTCGTAAGCTCATCAGATATCTCGACTTCCTCAATTGCATCGTCGACTATACCGCCCAATTTCTTCAGCCACGTTCGCCACCGCCACCGCCGACTTCCTGCCTCGTGTTACATCAGTCTTTACGGCAGTTTCACTAGTTCTCCAAGCTTGAGCTAGTTTTTTAATTAATGTTATGATAATATTCATAAACTCTATCAGATATGTGTCAATTTAAAGCACAGTACTTATTATAGTAAAATATAGCTCATCGGATGAAAAAAAACTGCCGTGGCCTATAGACGCTAATATACTAAAATAAATTTTTCATCTACTAAACTATATATATACTGTAAAATGAGTAATAATTATGGGCATATAACAATTATAAATTAAATAGCTCTAACAGTTTGAACGCCAATTATTAGTCAATATTATTGCAGCCATTTTCATTATAATTTAAAGTTACAAATAGTACTTGTAAAAAATATAGGTAATTAGAAATAAATATTTACATAGGTGTTCATGTAGTCATTCACAAAAATCAAGCACAGCATAACCTATTGCAGTGGATAACATTAATTGGTCAAAATAAGGCGGTCGGTCACGAGCTCTCATGGGTTGCGCAAACAATTAGTTTCGGCGCATCTTGTATCTTAAGCTGGTTTGTCGGCCTGGTTCGATTCGCTTGTCGCATTACGTCATAGAACGGAGCAGTGGATTGGGTCAGCGGCGCCCGCGCCTTTGTAGCGCCTTATCCACATCACTTACATTATGTCATACAAAGAACGAACGTAACACTAGTTACTGGACTTGGTGGCCCTGTATTGCGAACGAAAAATAATAAAAACAAACCGTAATTATTAATAAACTGTAAAACTTCATTTTGGTATGACATGATAAGATCAGAGTCATAGAGAAATAAATACCAAGGATAACTTCATTCTGACGGGAATTAGAGTACTTAGTAGTATTTTCTTTTGATCTGACTATCATAATATACAGAAACAAGTACAGAAATATAATATTTATAAATGCATGTATACTGGTAGACATAATGTTTACTTACTTTCCTCATTACGGTTTTCGATTTTGACATAAAATTTTGATTGAATAAAGTTTAGACTAATACAGTATTATTTTAGTGCTGTAGAGGGTTTACTACCAATGAATAACTTCTGCTACAAGCAAGCCTGGACAAAGAACTAATAATGACCTCTCTCTGAGGTTGATACAAATTGTGTATTTTTTTTATTTACAAACCGTTTCTTTCCGGCATGGAGGTATTTACTGCGGTAGGTGCCTACGACCTATATAAATACCACTTATGTATCAGTATGCAGGCGCATTGCCAATTACAGTGGAGACCTACTTTCTTACCTTCGAACTTTTACTTCCTGCGGGCCCGGCAAGGCGGCCGGTCGCACCACGCAACGAATTACGAAAGTGGCGCGAAATGCTCGGCCGACATTCGCGCGCTTGCGCCACCTTTCAGGAAGTGCTGTTGCGGCGGGATTACGTACCCAGTTGCGGTGTTGCTGAGCCGCAACACTTGAAAATCCTTGCGGAGCGGGATCGACGCCGCGGCGTGCCGTCGCAGGTCGTGACCTCCGTTACCTCACACTTATCGATAACGTTGTATATCATTTTATGTTACACAATTATTGTGGAACACTGAAGCGATCGTTTGCATTGAGTGGTCACAGAATTCTGTATACGAAATGGAATTACCAATTGTTTAAAACACGGTACCTATTTCCTGTGACATCTCACTTAATTATTATTACGTGATAATAGCGTTAAATATAAAAGGGATCTAACTGTTTTAAAAAAAAAATATGTTATTGCTGAGCAAGAGAGAGAGAGAGCGCCGAGATTTATAAAAAACAACTTGTATATATCTCAATAAATAAGCACATAATATGTTCTACTACAGTTTAATTAATTATAGGGAATAGAACGTTAAGTGCTTTGATAGGAATTTATCAGATTCAGATAAAAGTCCAATTATTTGTCTATTTTTAAATCGGAGTATAAAGATCGTAAGAAAATATCAAAACATTGAATTATAATGAATAATAAATTGCTTTGTTAATCAAGGACATGCGATAGAAAAACCCACATAAATAAATATTGTTGTGTATAGATCTTAGAAATTCAAATTTACATAGTTAACTATTTCATACGTCTATTAGAAAACTAAATTGGGTCTATGATTATAAATCATTACTTGACTTGCAAAATCTTCCATTTTGGCAAAATATATATCAAACGCATTGTCGAGGCACACGTTATGCAATGATTTTTATGTAACTAGAATACTAAATAATGTGACGGTCCTCGAGATAGTAGATAGTAAGTAACCTTCGCCTATATACATGACAGTACGGACATTACAGTGTGTGTTGAGAATGAGGTACCTCTTATGCGGTACCATTCTTAATGACTAAAGTCATCTGTTAGTATAAAATAATTATTAGCAATCTTTAAATTGTAATTTAAAGTTATTTCCATTCATCTCGTGTTTTGTTGTAGGTTAGGTATATCATTATGAAGTTCCAATTACACAAGACGTTACAAAATCGGAAAATAATGAACAAAAACGGTATCAGGGCGAGAAAATTCACATGAGTGTAAATATACCGTTAGTCGAGTCAAGCAACGCGCTAGATGTGTAACCCCATCTTCTAGCACGTAATATACGTAGGTATACGCAACGGTGCACACCCGATCTCGCGCGACCGGTCCTGAAAGTGGGCCATCTCTTTTTGTTCCACCACACTATTCCGTAATTAGAAAGAAGGGTGACTGCACTTGTTTTATGCACAATCAGATTCATTATCAGTATACGAACTTACATTACATTACCAAAGGGTATCGCCATGATATTATTAATTTAATTATTATTTTTCACAACGAAAAACGGAGTTGCATCAACAAATGACTGCAGGTGGATTAAAATTTTACGCTGTAATAAACATCATTTTGCTGAGATCTCTGGTATTTTAAATATTAGATTATCGTTCCCTGATAACACACTGTCGGTAGATGCGTGTTACATTTAACAATTTCTCTGGTAAAAGAGAAAGACGTAATCGTTATTAGTCACTCGTTTTAATATTATTTATCGTGCGTGATTCTTATACGCTATATGGAGGTTTAATGAGAGCTATAGGCAGTGATACGTGTAGGAGCAAGATCAGTAGCGATTCTCATGAGGTGTTAGCCAAGATGGCGGCACGCGGAAGTGTGTGCGACTTCCGCGTTGCCCTGCGCTGCGCGTGCGCTCGACTCGTGACTACCACATGCATTATTGAAAACGTAGACAATTGTTTTTACATTAAATAATAGATTATCCTTATTTGTTTTTAATCTATTTGTAATGAGATTGATATTAACAAGTTATGCAACCAATCGGTAAATGGAACGTTTACCGCATGCGTCAAACATTAAAATTTAATTAGAATTAATTAAGCCCTATTATAACAAATAAAATAAGTTATCATAAATATCAAGAAAACAACAAACAGAATAAAATAAATTCCAGCTATTTACAATCTGTGCTTACCATATAGATTGAACAACCATACTGGCTCCTTATAACAGATTTGGATGTCATTCTGTACTGTACTTCCTGTGCTTATTAGGTATAACCACACTTTATGTTTCTGTTTTTTTTGAGTAGCTGATTGTATCATCTATTACACAGCTATATTTTAGCGTTCCCAAGATCTACAGGCTGTTGGAGCTCCTTAGATTTAAGATGCCTTGCGTCAAGTATTTTCCACTTTTTAAATCTACGAGCTTTTTAGAACTACCACTCTGTTGAATGTTATTTTCGATGCTAAAAGAAACCGAAAAAATGGCTAATCTATGCGATATTCCGTGATAAATAAGTTTAAATAAAATTAATTAGAAGAATTTTAAAGAATTAAAGAATTTATTTAAACCAGAAACTAAGTTACTATGTTATAGCAATAACATGTTAAACGTAAACAACTACATTAGTTTATAAAAACTGTGTTGCAGTTATTTGCGCCCATCTCCAGAGCATTGTATACAATTTCAATAAATAAATGAAAATTACTACTTAAGAACATTTAGAGAACGACAATGTATATATATAAAATAAAACAAATGATACTTATAATTAATTTATGTGCATTAGAGCATGTGTGAGTGTGTATGAGTAAGTGTGTGTGTATGTTTTTTTGTATTGGTGTGCATAACTTTGTGTCAGTTTTATTTGAATATATACAATAAATACAGCAATTAAACTAATTAGATAGCAAGCATTGCGTAAAAAGAATAAGGATATATTGAGAGCAGTCACACTATATCATTGGACAAGCTAATAATGGTAGTTAAACACACTTTTAATATTGAATAACAATATTGACCTTATTTATTTTAAAATAATTCGTGTTAAAACCCGATTAAATATTTTACAAATTAATTTGTGCTTACCTATTACTAACTGTTGTCTTTTTAATTTATTTTTGATTAGTAACTATCCCTACATAAATATAGTGAAATAAGAGGTACATACTCTGTAAGTATAGTCCTATATCTACTCAAATGAGAGTACACACGCCTTACAGATGAAAATACCTAATAGATACGATTGTGTACAGTAAGAGACATGCGACTTACGCCTGGCCACAGCATTTTTAATATTGATTAAAGTAGATAAATTGTTAAAAATAAATATTCCTTATTTGTTTTAGATACACATAATGTATGTATGTACTTAATGACGAAATTTTTATTTGTTAACATACATTGCATTTGTCAGCTTAAAAAAATCATGATTATAGTAGTTTATAAGAAATTATTTGATTATCTATAAGGAAAATATCAATATTTATAGTAAAGTGCATAACATGCGTCTTTTTATTTGTAACTTTATATAGCGGCGTAAACACTATATATACCAAACTAGACGAAATTTATCGTATAATTTATATTTTTGTTGAAGAAAATTTAATGAGAGATGCTTCGTCACTATAATTGAATATTTAATTTAAATAGTATTATTTAATTTAAATTTTAAGTAATAAAAAGTCTGTCCTCTTTTAATTTGGTCGAAATTGTGTATAATTTTATACAATTTAAAAGGGGAGAGACTTTTTACTATCGTGCCAAATTAAAAGAAATGGATAAGTAGTTTCGAAGTTAATCCATGACTCATATGAGGATTGTAGGGAGTTCTTCTACTGCATTGAGGAACTAGTCTGTGGCATGGCGGCAGCCGGCCGGGGTCGCGATGCGCCCGGACATGCCGTCCACAATTACTGCCAATTGTGCCAATTGAACACGCAGTCACCCTTCCGCTTTCTACTCAACTAACTCGCCGTCATCACCTCTAAACATCTGCTCAATCCTCGCCAATAGCTATAAATTTATCTATTACGTACATGATGTAACCAAGCCAGCAGTATCTGCCTAAATTAAAACATTTGCAAATCTTGACTTTATCTATGGTGTTTATTTTTATTATAACATAAAAAAAATATAGACAAAGTAATCGGTACCACTTATAGTGATTGTTAACGATAAAGTCACTTATCATGGGGTCTTTGGTCAGGTCGGTGTCCTCGCGATCCCCCAGTTACGAAATGTTTTATATGCCTTTTTATTGTGTATGTTGTTATAATAATTATGTTGTTTTATATTCGGCATCAGTCAGTAAAATTTCCTTTTCCCAAGGTTCCTTTTTTACTCTCATCTCATCACACTCATGTTTGATCTCCCTCCTTTACCATCCCACATAAAACCGCTGTGGTTAGATTCTTATATTCACTATAATAGGTGAACTGACCTAACTTCATGCTTCTTCTCTACTTTTTCCCTACTCGTATATCATTAACGCAGATGCACCATCCCATATTCATCCATTAAAGGTGCCTTTTAATATATAGTATATGTAGTTATAAATTAAGTTAAATAGGTACTCTATTTATAAAAAAAAATAGATAACACTATTTAATATTCGTCAGCTAAGCTCTACCACAATGATTGTTAGATATGCCGGTAAAGGGTAGATTAGTGTGTGATGTGAGTGAATTAGTGATGTATCTATGGCTATGATCACATCCGAGATACATTTTAATTTCGAAGGTAATTGTTACATATAGTTTGTATAATATCTGGTATACATAATTTACCGATTAAGGAAGACCTATTTAAAGAAAATAAAATTCACTGAGACATAACCAGTAGGTAAAATATACAAGAGTGACATCACCAAATATTTTTTCAGTAGGTAAAGATGTGGTATAGGTATCATCTTAGTTTCCAAAGACACATGGATCGTCATTTAAATGATATAATTAATGTCGCCTATGAGAACACTACAGGAAGTCATTTTTAAGTGTCCAACGCTAACGTAATGTATGGATGGAAATTGTTCCCATAAGATTTTGTTTCGGTCATTAGCAAATTAAGGTCGCGTCGTAAATGTATCGATGGATTTAGGAAAAACAATGCCGCAAATTAAGTACTAATTTAAGACATATTTAAACGTAACAGTGAATGTATTATTATTATATTTATACGATAATATAATGGTTCATCCACCTACCTTAATGGCATATAGGTATATTGGCAGAAAGAAAATGACCATAGAACGAGTAAGAAGTTACTTC